TAGCCAAATCAACCAAGCAGAAGAAAGGATATCAAAGATTGACGATCAACTCAATGAAATAAAATCAGAAGGCAAGAATAGAGAAAAAAGAGTGAAAAGAAATGAACAAAGCCTCCGAGAAATATGGGATTGTGTGAAAAGGCCTAATCTACATTTGATAGGTGTACCTGAATGTGATGGAGAGAATGAATCCAAACTGGAGAACACTCTTCTGGATATTATCCAGGAAAACTTCCCCAACCTAGCAAGGCAGGCCACCATTCAAGTCCAGGAAATACAGAGAACACCACAAAGATATTCCTCAAGAAGAGCAACCCCAAGGCACATAATTGTCAGATTCACCAGGGTTGAAATAAAGGAAAAAATGCTAAGCGCAGCCAGAGAGAAAGGTCAGGTTACCCACAAAGGGAAGCCCATCAGACTCACAGCAGATCTCTCAGCAGAAACGCTACAAGCCAGAAGAAAGTGGGAACCAATATTTAACATCCTTAAAGAAAAGAACTTTCAACCTAGAATTTCATATCCAGCCAAACTAAGCTTCATAAGCAAAGGAGAAAGAAAATCCTTTATGGTCAAGCAATTGCTAAGAGATTTCATCATCACCAGGCCTGGTTTACAAGAGATCCTGAAAGAAGCATGAAACATAGAAAGGAACAACCAGTAGCAGCCACTCTAAAAAAGTACCAAATGGTAAAGAGCAGTGACACAATGAAGAATCTGCATCAACTAGCAGGCAAAACAACTGTCTAGCATCAAAATGGCAGATTCAAATTCACACATAACAATATTAACCATAAATGTAAATGGACTAAGTGCCCCAATCAAAAGACACAGACTAGCAAATTGGATAAAAAGCCAAAACCCATGAGTGTGCTGTATTCAGGAAACCCACCTCACATGCAAGGACACACATAGGCTAAAAATAAAGAGATGGAGAAAGATTTACCAAGCAAATAGAGAGAGAAAAAAAAAAAAGCAGGAGTTGCAATCCTAGTCTCTGATAAAATTGACTTTAAACCAACAAAGATCAAAAGAGACAAAGAATGGCATTACATAATGGTAAAAGGATCAATGCAAGAGAAGAGCTAACGATCCTAAATATATACACACCTAATACAGGAGCACTCAGGTACATAAAGCAAGTTCTTAATGACCTACAAGGATACTTAGACTCCCACACAATAATAGTGGGAGACTTTACACTCCACTGTCAATATTAGACAGATCAATGAGACAGAAAATTAACAAGGATATCCAGGACTTGAACTCAGTTGTGGACCAAGGAGACCTAATAGACATATACAGAAATCTCCATCCAAAATCCACAGAATATACATCCTTCCCAGCACCACATCACACTACTCTAAAATTGACCACATAATGGGAAGTAAATCACTCCTCAGCAAATGCAAAAGAACAGAAATCATAACAAACAGTCTCTTAGACCACAGGGCAATCAAATTAGAGCTCAGACTTCAGAAACTAACTCAGAACCACACAGCTTCATGGAAACTGAACAACTGGCTCCTGACTGTCGACTGGATAAACAATGAAATGAAGGCAGAAATAAAGATTTTCTTCAAAACCAACAAGAACAAAGACACATGTACCAGAATCTCTGGGACACATTTAAAGCAATGTCCAGAGGAAAACATATAGCAATAAATGCCCACATGAGAAACGAGGAAAGATCTAAAATCGACATGCTATCATCAAAATTGAAAGAGCTAGAGGAATGAGATCAGAAAAACTCAAAAGCCAGCAGAAGATAAGAAATAACTAAGATCAGAGCAGAACTGAAGGAGATAGAGACATAAAAAACCCTTCAAAATTCAATAAATCCAGGAGCTGGCATACTGAAAAGATTAACAAAGTAGACAGACTGCTAGCCAGATTAATAAGAAAGAAAAGAGAGAAGAATCAAATAGATGCAATAAAAGCAATAAAGGGGATATCACCACTGATTCCACAGAAATACAGACTACAATCAGATTACAACAAACAACTCTATACACATAAACCAGTAAACCTGGAAGAAATGGATAAATTACTGGACACTTGCACCCTCCCAAGCCTAAACCAGGAAGAAGTTGAAATTTTGAATAGACCAGTAACAGGCTGAAGTTGAGGCAGCAATTAATAGCCTACCAACCATAAAAAGTCCAGGTCCAGATGGGTTCACAGCTGAATTCTACCAGACATACAAAACGGAGCTGGTATGATTCCTTCTGAAACTATTCCAAACAATCCAAAAAGAGGGAATCCTTCCCAAATCATTTTATGAGACCAACATCATCCTGATACCAAAACCTGGCAGAGACTCAACAAAAAAAGAAAACTTTAGACCAATTTCCATGATGAGCATAGAAGCAAAAATCTTCAATAAAATACTGGCTTACCAATTGCAACAGCACATCAAAAAGCTTATCCATCACAATCAAGTAGGTTTCATTCCAGGGATGCAAGGCTGGTTCAACATATGCAAGTCTATAAACATAATCCATCACATAAAGAGAACCAAAGACAAAAAGGACCTGATTATCTCAATAGATGCAGAGAAGGCCTTTGACAAAATTCAACAGCTCTTTATGCTAAAAACGCTCAATAAACTAGATATTGAAGGAACATATCTCAAAACAATAAAAGCTATTTATGACAAACTTACAGTCAATATCATACTGAATGGGCAAAAACTGGAAGCATTCCCTTTGCAATCTGGCCCTAGACAAGGATGCCTTCTCTCACCACTCCTATTCAACATAGTATTGGAAGTTCTAGCCAGAGCAACCAGGCAAGAAAAGGAAATAAAGGGTATTCAATTAGGAAAAGAGGAAGTCAAATTGTCTCTATTTGCAGACAACATGATTGTATATTTAGAAGACCCTATCATCTCAGCCCAAAATCTCCTTCAACTGATAAGCAACTTCAGCAAAGTCTCAGGATACAAAATCAATGTGCGGAAATCACAAGCATTTCTACACACCAATAATAGACTAACAGAGAGCCAAATCATGAGCAAACTCCCATTTACAATTACTACAAAGAGAGTAAAAACCCTAGGAATACAACTAACAAAATATGTAAAGGACCTCTTCAAGGAGAACTACAAACCACTCCTCAAGGAAATAAGAGAGGACAAAAACAGATGCAGAAACATTCCATGCTTATGGTTAGGAAGAATCAATATTGTGAAAATGGCCATACTGCCCAAAGTAATTTACAGATTCAATGCTATCCCCATCAAGCTACCAATGACCTTCTTCACAGAACAGGAAAAAAACACCTTAAACTTCATATGGAACCAAAAGAGAGCCTACATAGCCAAGACAATCCTAAGCAAAAAGAACAAAGCCAGAGGCATCACGCTACCTGATTTCAAACTATACTACAAGGCTACAGTAATCAAAACAGCATAGTACTGGTACCAAAAGAGAGATATAGACCAATGGAACAGAACAGAGGCCCTGGAGGCAACGCCACACATCTACAACTATCTGATCTTTGACAAACATGACAAAAGCAAGCAATGGGGAAAGGATCCCCAGTTTAATAAATGGTGTTGGGAAAAATGGGTAGCAGTGTGCAGAAAGCAGAAACTGGACCCCTTCCTGGGACCTTACTCTAAAATTAACTCCAGATTGATTAAAGATAAAACATAAGACTAAAAACCCTAGAAGAAAACCTAGGCAAAACTATTCAGGACATAGACATAGGCAAGGACTTCATGACTCAAACACCAAAACATGACTCAAGCAACAAAAGCCAAAATAGACAAATGGGATCTAATTAAACTCCAGAGCTTTGTACAGCAAAAGAAGCAATCATTAGAGTGAACTGACAACCAACAGAATGGGAAAAAATTTTTGCAATCTACCCATCTGACAAAGAGCTAATATCCATAATCTACAAAGAACTGAAACAGATTTGCAAGAAAGGAACCAACAAACCCACTCAAAAATGGGCAAATGATATGAACAGACACTTTTCAAAGAAGACATATATGAGGCCCACAAACATATGAAAAAATTCTCATCATCACTGGTCATTAGAGAAATGCAGGTCAAAACCACATTGAGATACCATCTCACGCCAGTTAGAATGGTGATCATTAAAAAACCTGGAGACAACAGATGCTGGAGAGGATGTGGAGAAATAGGAACACTTTTATACTGTTGGTGCAAGTGCAAATTAGTTCAGCCATTGTGGAAGACAGTGTGGTGATTCCTCAGGGACCTAGAAACAGGAATGAATTCCATTTGACCCAGCAATCCCATTAATGGGTATATACCCAAAGGATTAGAAATCGTTCTATTATAAAGACACATGTACACCTATGTTCATTGTGGCACTGAACCAACCAAATGCCCAACCCAAATGCCCATCAATTATAGACTGGACAAGGAAAATGTGGCACATATACACCATGAAATACTATGCAGCCATAAAAAATGATGAGTTTGTGTCCTTTGTAGGGACATGGATGAATCTGGAAATCATCTTTCTCAGCAAACTGACACAAGAACAGAAAATCAAACACCACATGTTCCCACTCATAGGCGGGTATTGAATAATGAGAACACGTGGACGCAGGGAGGGGAGCATCACACACAGGGGTCTGTTGGGGGGAGCTAGGGGATGCACAGCAGGAGGTGGGGAGGTAGGGAAGAAATAACATCAGGAGAAATGCCAGATACAGGTGATGGGGGGATGGAGGCAGCAAACCACATTGCCATGTTATGTACCTATGCAACAGTCCTGCAGCATGATCTGCACATGTACCACAGAACCTAAAGTACAAGGAAAAAAACATAGAAAATCAATGCAATACCTGAGGCTTTCAATGGGGTATCATAATATCTAATGAGATTATATTATTGTGTTCACCAATAATCAGTCATTATGATTAAAATATTTGGTACAAGAAGTAAGACCTAAACTAAATCTTATAGAACATTTTAGAAAAGAGAAACACTATGAAAGAAGTCTTAGGGACATAAAATAGCATGGCTTATTCGAGCAACTGTGTATTCACACTGTTCTGCTGCAGAAATCAAATGGTGCTTTCTGTGGCCAGTTTTGCTTTACTAACCATCAATATATTAATAAACATAGAATGTTTTAATATCTGTGTTCTACAACAATGAAGCTTCTCTGGTTAGTGCTTAGTTTAAAGAATCTTAATCTTTTGGGGCCTGAGTAGACTGAGGGTCAACCTTCTGTCATCCACGTGTGCTCAAGTATGTGTTGTCCTTACACAACTCAACATTAAGCAGAAATAATCCCTATATTATTATGAAATTAAGCTACATATCATCCATATAGGTACATATATCATACAAATGGAATTTAGGCTATGCTAATAGCCAGAGATATTAATCATTTTTACTTCTGGCTATAGGGTCACTGCTGACACACATATACAAATGTGACCACATGTGCACGCAGACAAGCAATGCAGGGAAAAGACTAAGTAACTGTCTCACCTGATTGAAAATCAAATGATGACCAGGCTTCAATTGTAATATTTGTGCTAATTGCTTGGATTCTGTTCTTTTAGAAACTATGCTTGAGTTGTACCTAACTCAGGTTACCTAACCACATCCTACCACCACATCCTGCTGGGCTAAATTCCCAAAAAGTAACAAGAGTCACAGGTTGTACCTAACCACATCCTACCACCACATCCGGCTAGGCCTAAGTCCCAAAAGTAACGTCACTACCTGACAGATTAAGTTTTGCTTTCCTCTCATAGAGTTCCTCTCATTCAATTTTATGAGGCAAAAGCAAAACCTAATCTGTCAGGTAGTGAGGTCCACCCAGTATGGAGATCAAAGGTCCCATTGTTCTGCTCATGTTTATAAAGGGAGCTGCCATATTTCTCTCAGCACAGAGTTGGAAGCAACTCCAGAGCCTCCTTCAAGATGCTGCTGGTCCTGCTCTCAGTGGTCCTGCTGGCTCTGAGCTCAGCTCAGAGCACAGATAATGGTAAAAAGAAAAAAAAAATGTAATAGGAGGTGGGGACTGGGGTGAGGGGCCGTGACTTTTCTTGGGCCTCGGGGATTCACCTCACACCACTGCAGAGGAAGAGCAGGAAGGAAGGAAGGACAAAGAGAAGAAGGATGGGACTTCAGAGTTCTCATTCCAAGGATGACATCTGTTGTGCCCTCATTCCATGCCAAGATCTTATACTTTATTTGATATACTCTTGGAACCCAATAGAGATCTCAGTTAGAGGAATGACAAAGTAAGATTTGTATTTTTAGAAAGACCTGACTGTGCTGTGAAGGATGCAGCGGAGAATTCAAGACTGATCCAGGGAAGTCCAACTACGAAGATCCTATAGTAATTTCAGTAGACAGCGATGACAGAGCCCTTGCTGTACAGGAGATGCAGAATCAAGGAAGGAGATAAACACACATCAGAGTACTTTCAGGAATAGAGGAATGGATAATAAGTATGTGTTTTTTCTACATAATAGCATAGAAATATCAAGTCCCCAAATTCCCATTTTCCTTCCACTCACAGTTAAAATTTCAATATATTGCAGGCAGTATGTGTAAGATTGCATCCAAATATTTACTCCTGGTCGCTCCTCTTGGGAAAGCATGTGAAGATGATCAAAATATTTAGAGAAGGAATAGGGTAGAACTAAAATATAACGTGAAAATACCCAGAGCAGTTTGCTTAAATTAGCATTAGGGTTTGAGGAATCCTAAGGACTCTTCTACATTGAGTTCATGGTTGATGTTCAGTGGCAGTAACAACCCTGCCTCCCATGACATCTTCCTCCCCTTCCAGCAGCTTCACAGAAGTTGGTTGATGAGGTAACTTAGGGGATGCACAGGGTACGGTCAGAAAGCCCCTGTCCCTGTAGACCACTGTGAACCCTGAAAGATTTATGAGGTAATGTTCACTTCATCCTGTGCTTCTTTTCCTAGATGTGATCCATGAAGACTTGCCTTCCACCACACCAGGTAAATCCCAATGATCTTCAATCAATTTCTTTTCTTTTTCTTTCTACTTGAATTTTTTTTAGCTTTTCCAATGTCTTCCTCTCATCATATTTTTGGGGGGAGGAAGGTGGTGGGAGGAATCAGGCATTGATTAATGTTAATGCCCCTAAATATACGGACAGTTCTTCCCATCCTTGATTCTGGGACCCGTGAGCCAGGCTACCAACTTGAATACAGACATGCCTGGCTTTGAGGACAAGAGGAGTGGGCAGGCTTTTTGTCCCAGGCTGAAATGACTGCTGAGAGATGATGCACAAATGAGAACAGTTCTCATTCTGATGCCTCCCATCCTTAACTGCTTCTTTCTTCCCCAGTGTTCACCTGAACAGTTATGTGGCTTCAGGGACTAATGCAAAACAGAGCAAAACAAAATAGGTGTATGGATGTCTTTTCTCTGTGTTGATCCACTCAGCTATGTTACTACAGATGACAAATACTTGCCACGGCTATTTAGTGATCATGTGCAGGCTTTCACATTGCCTTTCTCTTCTGTCTCTTAGTATTTCACAAATTGGTTCCATGAGCCTGGGAAATCAGCTCTAGTTTCCACATAAGGCTTAGGTGCCCAGAGATGGAGTCACAGTTTGTAAGGTATTACAGCAACCAAAAAAATAACCAGTAACATAACTGAAAGTTATGATCCTTTTGCTATTTTTTTCTGTCCTTGGAGACATCCTCTGGCAATTCTGTTATGCAAGAACCCTTCTTTTCAAATTTAAGGACTCATACTTGTCACAGGAACAAATAAATGAGACTTTCCATATTACTCTTACATGGATTAAGAGGAGAGCTGCATTAAAAAACAAAAACAAACAAACAAACAAACAAAACAGTGGGCACAGGGAAGTTGACAGTCAAGAAGCAGGTTTGGGGAGAAGAGGGCTGTGTGGCAAGGTGAGAGAAGTGTAAAGAGAGGAGAGTTTTTCTTCACTCAGCTCATGCATTCTTGGGCATTACTCGCACAGATGTAGAGGACTCAAGTCAGGGCCCAGATCAGGGACCCCAGACACCTCCTCCTGAAGGACTCCTACCTAGACCCCCTGGTGACGGCGGAAACCAAGATCATGGTCCTCAGCAGAGACCACCCCGACCAGGAGGCCATTGGTTCCATCACCACCATCCTCCCCCACTTCCTTTTCAAAATCATCGAGGACGCCGTCACCACTTTCTACGCCTACCTCCTCTTGAAGTGCCACAGGAAGTACCATCATTATTCCCAAGGGACAGACCAAGAAGCCGTCCCCAGGACCAGCCATTCTGGTAATCTAGAATTCAATGACAGGTATGATTCCAGTTCATTCTCCATTAAATGCCTTAAATGTCACCATTCTCAAACTCTGTCATGTTCACAAATCAATTGGAAACATGTTGAAATTGCATAAGCCTGGACCCCATTTCTAAAGATTTGTATTCAGATATTCCTGAATAAGGTTGCAAGTCCTTGTATTCTTAACAAGGTGTTCAAAGAATTCTTATGAAATAATGACCTCCCCAACTTTTTTCTTAAGATGACTTGTCTTATAAAAATGAGTTGGTAATTAGGAATTGGGATGTTCTCCCTTTGGTGCTCTGCCTCCTCTCCTTGAGTCTGCCCTCTCAGATCCAAGGTCTCTCCATCTCAGGTTTCTCTCAGATTTCCATCAGAGCACTCCTTGCTCAGTCCTGCCTCACACCAGCCTCTCAGGTCCAGTGTCCTTGCTAAACGATACTTGAACTTGATGCTCCTTATTTTATTTAGTTTTAAAAATACTTATTTGGAAATTAGTACACGCTCGAGGAAAAAAAATCTAACTGAACAGGATGGTATGAAGCTAAATCTTAAAGTGATATCTTATCCTACTTACCCACACCCCTGTCCAAAAGTCACCACCATTAATTTTTTGAACATCTTCCTGGAAATACTTATGTGTATATAAGCATATGTCATTATTTTTTCTACAAATAATGTATTCTTTTATATACAGATCTGTATTTGCTTATTTCAAATAATATATGTCTTAGATAACTTTGTCATTGCACAGAGACATGTTTTTCTTTTGTTGTTACGATTGTATACGCTTCTCTTGGGTGACTGTACCATGATTTCGTCAATCAGCCACTGTTAATTGGCAAGTAGGCTTATATTAGTTTTTTACTACTATAGGTTCAAGTTGCCATCGTCATTTTCACATATATAACCTTGAATGTTTTGAACAGTAACCAAAACATAAGCACCATAAAAATAATCTGTTTTCTTAATCCTTAAAGCAATAATTTCCTTCAGTCATATCATCAAGAGATTAAATACTTTTTGCCGCATTGTATCTTGTGCATAAATTTTCTTGTTTGTTTCAGAACATAAATAAGAAGACAGCTTCCTTCAGAAAGCCATGACATTGAAATAATGCAGTCATAACTCTTTTCTTCAGTATACCAATAAAATGTTAATAGCATGCAATTTCTGATTATTGCTTCTCTTTGTGGGTGTTTCTCAGTCTGGAATTGGAAGGACATTAATGCAATCTGAGAACATCTGAGACTCCTGCTCACTGATGCTTCCAGCAGTCTTCCCTCCTCCTTTATCTTCATAAAACCAGCTGCCAAGGAGAAAGAGTTCCATTGTTCCTTTTCTGTCCTAGATTGCATAGCACAAACACAAATTCTTAAAATTATTTTCACATCTTTCATTGATATTCTTGTAACTTTAGGAAAACAAGGAATATATAACAAACGAGAGGGAGTCGTAGGGACTGGGGAATTCTTAAAATTTCCAAAACTATTAATCCTGGTTTCTAGGGACACAAATGTGGTTCTAGATCTCTTCTCCATAAAACTCACCATTTTCTTTTCTCCTCTTTTTTTTTTTTTTTGCTCAGTTCTCTTCCTCCCTAAGTCCTTCACCATCCTTTATAAAAACTTGAGTGAATTTCATAAAGGGTGCAGCATAATTTTAAAGGACAGGAAATTTGAGTAAAACTCTATTCTGATTGTGAAAATTCCAGCAATATCAATATTATTGTCAGCAATATCAATATTATTATAGACTGACAAATTTAATTCAAGATGCTGAGCGAAAGTTGAATAGAAAATAACTCTAACAAGCAACAGAAGTGGATAATTGTCTTTAACCACCTCTCATTATCACCTCCAATGTCAATGAATACAGAAAACTTTGATGTCTGAATTTTATCATTAAAAAGCACGTGACTCTTATTTAAACTTTTTAAGTACAGGAAACAAGTTTCTGAATTCATTCTGAGTTTTATGAAACAAAATATATAGGACAGCAGGATACTCTGTTAGAGAAACTATTCAATAATACATAAACAAATGAACACTATGCTAAAAGAATAATAAGCCATGTTGAAAGAGGATGTTGAGGATGGTTCCATATTAAAAAACTGGCCACACCATATCTGATTTTGATGTATTTAGATGAGACTTTGGATTTAGATCTTAAAGTGGATGCTGGAATGAATTAAGACTTTTGGGATTTGGGGGATTAAATAAATGTACTCAGTATGTGAGAAGACCATATATTTGTGGGGGTGACCAGGGACAGAATGCCATAATTTAAATGTTTATGCTCTACAAAATTTATGTTCAAACTTAATTCCCTGTTCAATAGTATTAAGAGATGGAGTCTTTTGGGGGAAGTGATTAAGTCACGTGGGCTCTGCTTTCATGACTGGCATCAATTTCCCTATAAAAAGAGGCTCCCAAAAGCTGCTGAGCTCTTCCATCTCTTTTGACATGTAAGAACTCAGTGTTCCTCCTTCTTTCACACTTCTGTGTCATGAGAGGGAAGCTGGGAGGAATTGTCTGTTCAGAATGGGCTCTCACGCAACCCTAAATCTGCTACCACCTCAATCTTCAAATTTCTAGCCTCCAGAGTTATGAGAAATACATTTGTATTATTTATAAATTACCCAAGATAAACATTTTGTTAATAGCAGCTCAAACTGGCTAAGGCAGAGGGCTACCTACAAGAATTAAATGCATCATGTATATAAAATTACCCTACATGATGTATACAAAATTGCATGATTTAATTCTTGTAAAATGCATCATGTATATAAAATTACCCTCCGTGAATACAGAAATAAAAGTTCAATACATTTAAGTTTATTTATTCTTTTATTAGAAAAGACTGGTTTTGTTCTTTCTTTCCTATGACAAACTTCTAATAATGAATTATCTAAAAACTAGATTATTTGATAAACACTTGCTTTTTTAGCATTAGAACCATTCAAAAAGAAGCCAAAAGCCCATCCAGAAGGAATGGTGATGACCAAATATATTGTTGCATATCATCAAGTGGCTGGTAAACATGGATAAAACTAAGTCTCCTTCCTCATTTAAATTCCAATGATTCTGCTCCTTAACATTTAATATTCAGCCTATTCTCTACCTATACAGAGTGTAATGTCACCTGTAGGTCAATTGTTACTCAGATGTTAATAAAGCCCAGTTCCTCTTGAAGAGGCAGATAATTTAAACAGAAATTCACCTGCTGCTTTCTTATAGAAAGTAACCCAATTTCTGCTTCCAAAAAATGAAGTAAATGTAATTTGCCCTATTCCTTCTACTAAGAACAACTATAAACTCTGAAGTTTATGTATAAAATATATGAAAACTCAGACCTAGAGAGACCAAGGCAGATGTGGTAGGGACTCAAGAAATTGTATAGTGATGAATTCCCTAAGTTTTCTTTTCTGCTTTATAATTTGCAGAATTTTAGCTTAAAAATGCCATCAACATAGAAATACTAACAGGCACAGATGAGAATTTCCCAACAAAAGCCTATAATTTTAGCCAAAGGACAAGGAAATAGACAGTCTAGAAAGGCAGAAAACAATTAGACAATAACCACTGTACTGCAGCCAAATAGTATTACCTCAGGGGAAGAGCTTAGATCTTTAAATCCTTACACCTGCCAGGTTGTGACAAGCTGTCCCAACCCTTCTCCAGAATAGCATCTCAGAATAGCAGAAGTTGGAACTTTCATCCCCAACTAGTGGTAATGAGCGCCTCACTCTCCTTCCCCACCTTGATTGGAGGGCAAATGGGGAGCTGGATCTACCTCTAAAGCACCAATGAAGAAGCACCCTCCTTTCCATACCAGGTAGTGCTTGTGGAGGCCACATGGGAAACAGTAGCAAGGCACTTCTGTCCCAGACAGGCTAACAGTGGAGGCCTAGTGGTGAGCCAGAATCTACCCTCCAGTGAGCAGTAATGAGGAGCCTTCCCCTGCCTAGGTGTCAACAGAGATTGTGAGGAAACCTTTACGTCACCTGGCAGCAATGGATTGTCCCTCCCTCACTCTCTTCCCTTGCAGGGATAGTATCTGAGGAAGCCAGCTAAGACAGAAGGGGTAAATAAGTTCTAGAGTCTCATAATGTCCTGGTTCATTTAAAAAATCACTTGGTATACCAAGAACCGGGAAAAATCTCAAATTGAATATAAAAGATAATTAGTAGATTCCAGAACAAAAATGACAAAGATGTTAGAATTATTCAGCAAAGATTTTAAATCAGTCATAATAAAAATGCTTCCTGTATTTTACTTGCACACACATATGAAACAAATTTAAAAATAATCTCAGCCAAGAAATTAAAATATATTTTAAAAAAATGAATGGAAATTTTAGAACTAAAACTTACAATAACCAAATAAAAAATTTAAGAAGATAAGCAGGAAAAAAACTATAAACACATCCTCAGGGACTTGTAATAGTATAACCAAAGGCCTAATTTTTATGTTATTGTAGTCCCAGAAAGAGAGAAGAAATAGGCAACTTTTAGAAAGATCTCTAAGACTGAAAACTTTCTAAATTTGGAAATGGACAAAAACTCACAGATTTCTAAATTCAAGCAAACCCAAAATTTCTTAGCTATTTTAGGCTACTGTATAAGAATACCATAGAATGGGTGGTTTATGAAAAAAGAAATTGTTGTTCACAATACTGGAGGCTGGAGGACCATGATCAGAATGCCAGCATAGTTGAGTTCTGAGGAAGGCAATTTATGGCTGTAAATGGACATCATCTCATTTCATTGTATCCGAACATGTTGGAGAGAAGAAAGAGGTATCTCTTGTTTCCTTCTCTTTCTCTCTTTTTTAATAAGGCCTCTGATCTCAACATGAGGCCCCCATCACCATGACTTAATATAACCCTAATGATTTTCCAAAGGCCTAACAACCAAATAACATCACATTGAATTTAGGATGTCTACATATGAATTTTGAAGGGACACAAACTTTCAGTGTATATCACTAACCAAG